CACCGCCCGCGCCGCGGCGGCCGCCCGTCTGCGCCTGCGCGGGCGCCGGTGTTGCTCGTCACCAAACTGCGCCGCACGGGGATGGGCGGGGGGAGCGGGGCCTCGTAGCAATAGGGGGCAGCAGGGGCGCTCGCGCCGCGGGTGTTTCGGCGGGAAGGAGCGCCTGAGGCGGGCGCCGGGGCGGCCAGGTGGTTGAGGCACCATCCCTGGAGGTGTTCAAAAGCCAGGTTGATGTAGTGCTGGGAGGTATGGTTTAGTGATGGTGATGCTTCTTGTTTGTTGTGTGGGTGTCTATTTTTGTCAGTTAGGTTGACGGTTGGACAAGATGATCTTTAAGGTCCCTTCCAACCTAGAAGATTCTGTGATTCTGTGATTCTGTGAAGATGGAGGGGAGTGTGGGAAATCACAGAATCACAGAATCTTAGTGGTTGGAAGGGACCTCTGAGATCATTGAGTCCAACCACAAAAAAAAAAAAAACCACCAAAAAACCAAAAAAAAACCCAAAAAAAAAAACAAAAAACCAAAAAAACCAAAAAACACACACACCACACCACACGCCCACCAAAAACACTGCACCCACCAACTAAACCCCACACTCAACACCTCACCGTAAACCAATAACCTTGGGCACTAGAGCATGCCCTGAAGAGCCATGTCTATACGTTTCTTAAATCCCTCCAGGGATGGTGACTCCACCACCTCCCTGGGCAGCCTGTTCCAGGGCCTGACCACTCTCTCAGGAAAGTAATTCTTTCTAATATCTAATCTAAATCTCCCTTGCCGCAACTTCAGACCATTTCCTCTGGTCTTGTCGTTCGTCCTTTGGGAGAAGAGGCCAACACCTGCCTCTCTACAACCTCCTTTCAGGTAGCTGTAGACGGCAATGAGGTCTCCCCTCAGCCTCCTCTTCTCCAAACTAAACATGCTCCTAGAGTCAAGGTGTTATCTAATTCTGTGTTTTCTGCTGACACCTGCTGGCCCTGAGCAGCAGGTTATTGCCTTCCTGCCTAAAGGCCTAAAGGCTTTCACAACCTCGGAAGTTGTTATTATTTATAACTACCTGATGGGATGATGTCACTGTTTGTTAGAACCAGTCTTTAACCTCCAACTATAGGTAATTGATTGTATCTCTCCCAGGACCCTTCCCATCCCCTTCTTGTTATTACCAGTTACAATTCATCCGTGAGCTTGCTGTCCTAAAATGCAAAGCTGCAGCACGAGCCGGCGGAGCGTGTGGTGCGGTATAAACTGCTCCGTGACTCAGACAGTTGAAATCTGGGGGGAAATCCTGGAAACTTGAAGGTCTTGATGTCCTAATACAAGGAAATTTGAATTGGAAATAAGTATAGGTCCACCACAGTCGATGTTACTACACTGGTATATAGCTGCAGATTTTCCAGAGAGATCAAAACGAGGGTTCTGCTCCAAAAATGATGCCACTCACATCCACAAGTGGTGAGCCACATACTGAAATCCCTACTCATTCTTTATCCGAGGCATTCCTAGAGTGCCCTGCAGATTAGGGACGTGGAAATAATCCATTACTTACCGAAATAATAGTTCTCTCACCACTAATCCAAAACGAATGACATTACAGCCAATTAATTGTTCATCTGGGAGACGGAGCCCTTCGTCATGTCGGTGTCACTGGTGTAGCTCGAGAAGACGAGAAACGAAGCATTTCTATCCCAAGGTGAAAAGTTTATGGGATTTCTAAGGAATTTGGGCTTGTTGAGAGTCTCAGCAGAAATGGTGAGGGCATCTTCCTGGGGCTGGGGCTGTAGCTGTGCGAGGGTCAGTCAGCCTTGTGTCCCAGAGCCTCACGTACGCTGTGAGAATTAGGATTAAATAAGGATTTAACATTTATATGTTGTTCTAGGCAACCTTATGTGTACAACCTTACTTCCCTGGAACAGATCCTTCAGGAAGCCCAAGATAAAAGGTTAGTTTCTGACAGAAGGGAGAGCAACTCAAAAGGTAAATGTAAGTTTTGTGAGTTACGTGTAGGGTTCAAAAAAGCATTTTAGGAAATGTCTGAGATCTTATGGGAGAGCAGGATGTGATGCAGAACGGATGTAGAGAGGGCAGAGGGGACGAGTGAGGGACTGGGAGGACAAGGAAGGACATCTCCCCTCTCCTCCCCTTCCCTACTGAATTGCTGAACACTGATTTTGAGAAGATGGGAGATGAGGGGGACCCACAAGCCATGGGCTTTCTTACCCTTTCAATGTGATGGGAGAGACCACGATGCTGTGTCTTGGTTTGCAAGAACCCTTTTTAGATAAGGAGCAACCACAGAGGGTCCAGACTTAACAGAAAAGGGGTAACTCCACCTAAATTTGATGACTTTTGAGGCCTTCCTAGTTGGAAGCGGGCGTTGTATCCACTCTGTCCCTCTGTCGGTGACAACACAGGCAAATTGCCTATATATTAAAGCAATTTTAAGCAACGAGACAAAGATTGGTTAGATGAGATTAATTTAACCATCTGCTTCTTATCGTGTCACCAAGGTGTTCGTTATTTGCAGCATGATACCACATCCTCTTCGGACAGCGCAAGAGGGTATGTCCCACCCTCCCCACGTTAGTGTGCCAGGGCCCTGACCACGCTAATTGGGGCTAATGCAGGCTTCCCACCCACACACCCTCCACCCCTTGGCGTGGGAGCTGCATTTAAGCTGAGGCCATTTGGTTTTTGGTCCTTGTTTGAGCTGCGGTGGGTGCGTGGTGGACTTGGGCTTGACATCCTGGCTGTGGACCTGCTGCGTGACTGTGGACTTACCCGAGGACCTGGACTGAGGCTGTCCCTGGTCAGTGCCACCAGACCTGCTCTGCTCCTCTCTGTTTGGGTCCCGTGGGGCCGTGCTGCTTGTGGTGACCTCTTCACTCCCACCTTGCCTTGCTGTCACCTTTGGCTTCTGGCTTGCTGGGTGGTGCACCTCTTTTTCTTGCAGCTTCCTGATTTTCTCAGGTGTTTTGTGCCCTGAGCACTACAGAGGATGACTTTCAGCCAGTGCAGGACTTCACCCATAGGTCACCCTCTAGTTTAAGGCTGATCTCCAAACCCTGTAGGACCTTATGGCCACATAAAGCCTTATGGACCTACGTAGGACCTTATAGTGCAGGACTTCACCCATAGGTCACCCTCTGCTTTAAGGTCCCTGTAGGAACTTATGGCCACATAAGGCCTTATGGACCTACGTAGGACCTTATAGGCCTACAAACCCTGGGAGGTCACAGTGCTTCTGGATTCTGTAGCCCCTTCAGTGGGGATTAGGAGTGAATACAAAGATTAAATGCAGCTCCTTAAATGCAATGGGTGGAGGCCCCAGACGAGGTTGGTCAGGGCACTCAGAGCTTGTTGGTGTACTTAAGACCCTGACATCATGTTTGGCGGGATCTCTTGGCAGCCTTTAAGTCCATGCAGGGTGTAGCATGAGTAATGGAGCAAGCTGTAATTTTGCCCTGCATTAAGTCCCTCCTTCCTGTTTTCAAAGAGCGTGTCCACCGGGGGTGGTGTGGACAGTCTGTCGGTTCTTTATGAAACGTCAAAGGCCATGAGCTACAGGTGGGATTTGACTTCCACCAGAATTACTGTAGCTCTAGAAGCAGGAAATTCTCCTGATGGTTCCTGTCTCTCAGGATGAAGTCACGTTACCTGATTTACGTTGAGGGGAGGGGAGATCCACTTGTTTCCCAAGAACTGGGTTAGGTTAAACGTCAGAGACCTGGGGACTGGCAGGAATGTATGTACCTTATCTCCTTGTAGAGCACATGTTCTCCACAGTATGCCCCCAAGTTACAACAGTCGCAGGATGACTAATTCTTCTGTGTCAAAACAGGCAGAATCCCTGCCTGAGGCTCCCCTTGTTCCCAAAAACATGAGACTTGGCCTTACAATAGTCTGGCTTGGACTCTGCTGTGTACCCATGACAAGAAGTGACTGGTTCTTCCTCAGTAACATTTCATAGAATCATAGGATGGTTTGGGTTGGAAGGGACCTTAAAGATCATTCAGTTCCAAACCCCCTGCCCTGGGCAGGGACACCTCCCACCAGACCAGGTTGCTCAAAGCCCCCTCCAACCTGGCCTTGAAACCCTCCAGGGATGGAGCAGCCACAGCTTCTCTGGGCAACCTGGGCCAGGCTCTCACCACCCTCACAGCAAACAAGTTCTTCCCCACAGCTCAGCACCATCTCCCCTCTTTCAGGGTCAAACCCTTCCCCCTCCTCCTATGGCTCCTCTCCCTGATCCAGAGTCCCTTCCCATCTCTCCTGGAGCCCCTTGAGGGACTGGAAGGGGCTCTAAGGTCTCCCCGGAGCCTTCTCTTCTCCAGGCTGAACCCCCCCAACTCTCTCAGTCCCACCTCCCAGCAGAGGGGCTCCAGCCCATCTCCGTGGTCTCCTCTGGCCCTGCTCCAACAGCTCTGTGACCTTCTGATGTTGGGGACTCCAGAGCTGGACACAGTGCTCCAGGTGGGGTAAAGGGACAAATGAAAAGTGTTTCCAGCTCAGCCTGTCATTCTGGGACAACCCCAGCTGTGTGTTCCCACAACCAAAGGAGAGCCAGATGGTTCCCAACGCTCAGCTGGGAAAGCGCCCATCGCCGTTACTCCTTCAGCGTAGATAATGACACCCCAAATATCTGGGCACCTTTAGGGAAGGTGATGAATGAGAGGGAGGCTATTCCAGCACTTCTTCAAACCTGTGTCACCTTTTCCTGAGGAAGATGCTTCCTTAGCAGAGGATTCCTAGGAAGCCTGTCCAAGGAGAAGGGTTTAGCTTCATAACTGAATTCTGAAGGTCTTGTCCACCCAAGGTTTTGGCAGCTTCTGCTTCATAACTTGTTTTCTTGCTTTCAAGAATTTGCTTTGCTTGAAGCGCTGGCTGGATCTGTGTCAAACCATCCCAACTGCAGGTCAGAGGGATGCTAGTAATTTCAATAAATAATATATTTAAATTATCTGGCTTACATCTAGAAGTGTGTAACTTTTATATAAGAGCCTGGCCTTGCATGGCCTTGGCGTTGTCTATCAGAGAGAACTTGTTGTAGAGCAGGCAGGACCCAGAGCTTGCGTGCTATCCCTGGAGTGATTATTTCACCCAATTATTTCAATGATTTCTTCAAAATAATCACTCAGGTGGAGTATTTCGGCCGGAGTGAGATCTTTCTGCTGGCTGCCTCTTTGTTAACAAGGAGTGAGCTACTAAATATCTATCGGAGGAAAACCTGTGACCGAGAGTCAACTGGTAGAGCTCCTCACCCCCAGTGAGAGCTGGGACGACGTTCGGTTTGACTCTGTTTTCCTCTACCTAGAAAAATGTGTAAAATGACACCAGGGAGTTTTGTGGACAACACTTAGAAAACAACTCCTGCCTTACGGGTTTGAAGGTGTCAGCGGAAAATATTTTTTTGGAGGTGAGGTTGGCCTCCTATCTCTTGGTTGCCTTGAAAGCTCTGATAAATGTGAGAACTTACTCACATGGTTTCCAGATGTGTTTTATCAGAAAAAAAAAAAAAGGTTTTCTTACCAAGTCCTGTATAAATTCACCTTTGCCAGGCTGAACTGAACTTCGTGTCAACCATGAAGCTGATTTTGATCTTCAGTGCCCTCATCGGGGCTTCCTTGTGCCTGGAAACCTTTGTTGGGTGAGTTATGCTTTTGGAGAAGACCTTTAATTTAAGGCTGTGTTTTCCAGTTGTTGTTTTTCATGATCTTAACTTCCCAAAATGTCCTTGGGGCGCAATCCTTTGCTTCTTGTGGCTGACTTGTCTTGCTCTTTGGTACTGCGGTATTTGAAGGAACCCCTCTCTAGTTTTATTTGGGATTTCCAAGGAGAAGGAGCTAGCTGAAGGGTTGAACTCCTAAATTGAGGTTCACCCAAGGCTTTGTTTTGGCTCTGACTGCACCTGGGGAGCAGCCTCGAGCCTTGATCTGGAGCTGAACCTCCTGCAGAGCTCGAGTGTTCAGCTTGACAGATCTGGCCCCACCATGAAGCAGAGCAAAAAGACCAGAACCTGGCTTCAGATCGGAAAGGTCTCTACTTTCCCTTTGCTTTTGAAGTTTCTTACTTCTCTGTAAATGCTTAATCTCTTCAGAGCGTTTTCTAAGCAATTTGAGTTCTTATTTCCAACCGTTACCTCTATGCTGCATTGCAAAATGATCTCCTTCTAGCATATTTCCTCAGAGTCTTCCTGACTATGTAAAAAGATGATAAACAGAAGATGATAAAAAGCGTGATAGAAACTTCCTAACATGTAGTAACTGAGCACTAGATTCTAGTAAGTTTGTGAAAAGATGATAAACAGAAGATGATAAAAAGCATGATAGAAACTTCCTGACATGTAGTAACTGAGCACTAGTTCTAATAAGTTTGTAGATGAAGATGTAAAGGACTAAGAATAAGAAATGATATACATAATTTACTAAAACTCTAGGATATGTAAAGCCAGGAGAAGCTGTTTTGAGCATTTAATCTGGGCTCTGGCATAACGCAGGCTGGATTCTCAGGAATTAATTCCTTGGTCACATGCAGTAGCTGTGGTTAACGAGCCTCATCTCTTCACAGAAGAATCTAAACCAGAAATAAAGCTGGTGATGGTGGAGAATCCGATACTAAGTTATTAGTGTGGTAAAGTGCCTTTAGTGTTGATTGAACTTGATCTATCGAACAGAAGAATCCAATCCAGAAATAAAGCTGGTGATGGTGGAGAATCCGATACTAAGTTATTAGTGTGGTAAAGTGCCTTCAGTGTTGATTCTGTCAAGAATCTTATACCTTAATTGGCTGGACTGAGGAACCTGGTGTTAATGAGTGTCCCTTCTCAGCTGCTGAGGCCACACTAGGAAATAAACACGCAGATAACTGGGCTCCCACGCCGAGTCCCTTGTTTACCCTCTCTCAAGACGTGTTTTCCAATTCTGCAGTTACTCACCTCGATTTGCTCTGAGTCATCTCCCTTTTTTGGCGCTGCTCGCAGCAGGTGCCAGCAGAGCAGCTGGGCCAGCTCAGGAGATGGAATTCTCCGGACTTTCATCCCGTCTCCCACGGCAGCCAAAGGCAGATGCCTTGGGAAGAGAAGGAAAACAAACACACCAAATATATTAACCACCAAATGCCATTTGCAAACGTAGCATTGGTGCTGGGCTCTCTTGCAGTAATCCCCAGGCTCTACAGCTGTGGAGTACATCCATACTTTTTGGCTATGGCATTGATCCCCACCTCTACTTCCAGTTGTTATCCAGGTTTCCTTCAGAACAGCCTCCAGAATAGGATCAGGCTGCTTCTCTTGCAGTAATCCCCAGGCTCTACAGCTATGGAGTACCTCCGCACTTTTTGGCTATGGCATTGATCCCCACCTCTACTTCCAGTTGTTATCCAGGTTTCCTTCAGAACAGCCTCCAGAATAGGATCAGGCTGCTCAGGGCAGTGGTGGAATCATCATCCCTGGAGATATTTAAAAGGCAGACGTGATGCTGAGGGACATGGTTAGTGGTGGGTTAGGTTGATGGTTGGACTTGATGATCTTCAAGGTCCCTTCCAACTAGGTGATTCTATGATTCTATGATCTTCTGTCCCCCAGCTGTGGCATACACTTGTTGTTCGTAGATTCTTTTGTCATTTCATAAAAGCCTTGGGAGGTTGATGGTTGGACTTGATGATCTTCAAGGTCCCTTCCAACTAGGTGATTCTATGATTCTATGATCTTCTGTCCCCCAGCTGTGGCATACTCTTGTTGTTCGTAGATTCTTTTGTCATCTCATAAAAGCCTTTGATGAAAGGGACCTCCAGAAATCTTTAGTCCTCTCCTGCTCAGAGCAGGGCACAGAGCTGTTTCCCCTTATCATCGTCTGCCCCTACTGAGAAGAGTGTCATTTTTGTATGACTCCCCTTCAAGTTGTGGTAGCCTATAATTAGATGAGCCTGGTCAAGCTTGGGTTCATCAGCCTCTCCTCATGGTACTGTTTGCTTCTACCTATTTTACCAGGGAGGCTGGAACATTGTGTTTCAGTGATCTAAAAAAGCCACGTAGAGACCGTATGCTGAGATCACTAGTGCAGTCTAAGTTAATCACTGAGGTTGCCTGTGGAGTGAGGTACTTCCAGACGGTGATTCATTCCAGCTGGAATGGTGCAGGCCACCTTCTGATGGTATCAGCTTCTGACAACACAGAGAAGTTTGTCCAAATTGAAGAAAGGTGAAATGAATCCCATATTTAGCGTTCGGTTTGCTATTTTGTAGTGTCCCCCCAACATTTGATCATTTGCAGACTCAGCCAGAGGTTGGTTTTTTCAAGTTGTTGACAAAAAAAATCTAATAGATGCAAGAGTGATCTCTGTAAGCAATTAAAACCTCAGCCACTTGATGTCTTGTCTTAAAAATTGCCATTTAAGTAGTTACTAATCTAGTGTACATGTAGGGGGCTGGCTCTGCAGGTTGTTGGTTGAACTCTTGGGTGACACGAAGTCAACTGCATTAAACAAGTCCGTATCGGCTGCTAGCACGCAAATAACTACCCAGCAAATTAATAATCTTAATAACAAGTGAGTTCCAGACCCCCTTTTTGAGGCTGTTTCTGAAAACTTACTGATTTATTGCAGGGACCAGGTTCTCCGAATCAAGACAAGAAATGAGGAGGAGGTTAAGCAGTTGCAGCTTTTGGAATCCCTGGAACACCTGGAGGTATGTTACTACCACACAGGCTTTTTTTAACATTTCAGGCTGGGGTAGGACTTACCAGGGCAGGACTTCACATCCATGTTTGGAAGGTTCTTACCTTACTGTGGCAGCTGCCATAAATAAATGTACTGTCTCAATATTTGGTGTTTGATCCTCAAGTCCTAGTACCAGCTTGGTATTCAGGAGTGACTGCATGTATACTTTCTTCCTACTGGGTTTACAATCATATTTGAGTTGATCTGCTCTTAATCTTAGTATCGAAAAGCTTGTTTTTAAAGTAGAGATACTAATCTTTTTATACTTATCTCCCAGTGTTGTGGGAGGAATTTATTACTTTGAGTCTGCACTGTAAAACATACTATAATATTCTAGGTTATCGCTGTTCTTATTGCCTTCGGTGAGACTTTTTATCACTTTCTTTAAAAATATTGATTTGAATAGTGTAGAAATAGGTTATCGCTGTTCTTATTGCCTTCGGTGAGACTTTTTATCACTTTCTTTAAAAATATTGATTTGAGTAGTGTAGAAACTAGAATTTAGAAAAGCCCTACCAAAGGAGAAATAAAAACAATGGGTTTCATATTAGGTATAAGTGTGATACGGAGATTTTTTGGTAACTATTTCTAGTAAAAGAGAAAATAGTAAAATCATCACAGAAGACAAAAATTCCATCTTGCTTATATGACTGAAGCTCTGAAGTCAGTGAAAACGCTGACTTTAGCCTCCTGCAGATCTTTTTTTTATCATTAAGTGATACAAGGTTGTAGTGAGGCCAAACTAAAGAGTGGAGTGTGCTGTAAGCGTGATGGGGAGCCATTCTATTTGGGAGAAATCAGCATTTCTAGAGCTTTAGAAGAGCTGGTTGCAGAACGCTTTTTTCCCCAAACCAAATCCATTTTCCTTTCTCTTTTCAGCTTGATTTCTGGATAAATCCCTCCACTGCTGCCCTCCCTGTGGATGTGCGAATCCCTGCTAACAATGTCCAAGCAGTCAAAGCCTTCCTGGAGTCCCAGGGGATTGAGTACTCCATCTTGATTGAAGACCTGCAGGTAGGCACATAATTAGCTTTTAAATCCTGTGGAAAAAAAAAATAGTGATTCCCAATCATTCATTAATTCACGGACTCTTCTATACTCTGTTTGCCATGAGGCCCTCCCCTTATTTTTGTAGTCTGTGGGTTAATTTCTCAAAGACAATCTGTGGGTCACTGCTGCTACCTGGAACCAGATTGAATAGTGACATCAATAAACTCATAGGCTCCGTGGGGCTCTTCTTCTAACCTCTGAGGAATTTTGTGTGGTCTTTTGGCCTCAGATATTTGGGAATTGCAACGCTTAAGTTACTTCTAATTCAGTAAACTATATTAAGAACAGCTTTGGATAATAATCTGAAAGAACTGTGCCCCACTGTGTGAGTTAACTCACCCCTTTGGGCACTAATCCGACATTTCTTCATGAGCAGTAACCCCAAAATGACACTAAAATAACATTAACTCAGCAGAAACTGTGCCTTTTTTCTCTCACCACCCCTTCAAGCTTTCCAGTGCTATTCTTGTTCATCTTAACAAGCATTTAAAAATTAATACTGACAATTTAAACACTGCTTCTCATGTCCAGTTTCTCACACCCACTTCACTACGGATACATTCAGCGGAAACATCCCTTTGCTCCTGGGGCTGGAGCCAATGAGCAACGCCATGATGTTGTGATTATTAATTAAGCAGGTGTTTTTTCTCAACATTTGAATGGTTTCTTTTAGGCTGTTCTCGATGAAGAAAAGCAAGAGATGGCCTACAGTCAACAGAGGGAGCGCAGCAGCAACAGCTTCAACTATGCAACTTACCACACTCTGGATGACGTGAGTACCTCAGCTTTGGGGGAAGAGGGTTCTTTTTTCCTGCTGTCTTCAATTAAACATCCTATCTTAGGATGTAAAATGTCTTTCCAGCTTCTTTTGGCATGTGGTTTTGTATTTAAATGGATTAATTTTGTCGTCGGCTCCATGAGCCAGCGCTTTCCCTGACGGAGTGTTGGAACAGAGAAGTGTTGATCATAGTTTTTCATAAAGGCTTCTGCAGAATTCTGGCAAAACCCTTCCTTCTGACATTCAAAAGAGATTGAGAAATAAATGAATCTCAAGGTAGGGAAATATAGGAAGCTGGTAACCGTCAAGCAGAGCAGAGAGTCAGGTATTTTTTTACTACCAGAAGTTCTTAAAGAGGGTTTTGAACTTATTCCTGAAATAAGTAGATCTTGACAGTATGGCAGTGTATGAACTTATTCCTGAAATAAGTAGATCTTGACCGTATGGCAGTGCTGCCTTCTACTTTGTTAGGAAGAGCATTGACCACACGGACGTAGGGTGAGGTGGGGCTTTGGAGAGGTCATAGCACTGATGGCAAAAGGAGAAAAAAGTAGATTTCATGGGGTCCTACAGTTGTTCTGGGCCGTGCTATGCATGAATGTAATGTAAATATCATGCCTTTTCATTTCAGATTTATGCAGAACTGGATCATCTCGCATCTGAGTACAGCAGCATTGTCAGCAAGCACAAAATTGGGGAATCCTACGAAAAGCGGCCTCTGTACGTGCTGAAGGTACGTGTCTCTGACACACAGCACAGATTGTGTGCATACCTTTGTGTATACATATTATAGATAACAGCACAATTCAGCCCAAAGCGTCCCCAGTCCATACGGGATGGGGTTTTGACTAAAAGGTGTGAGAGTTTTACAACTTTCTGGTTTGTTTTGACAGTTCAGCACCGGAGGAAGCAACCGTCCCGCGATCTGGCTGGATGCTGGGATCCATTCCCGAGAGTGGGTTACTCAAGCCAGTGCCATCTGGATGGCTAAAAAGGTCATCTCAGCAGTGATGGAATTTCTTTTTTGATTTATTTTGGGAATGCCTCTGACTATTTAGAAGTGTATCACAGCTGTATGTGTTGAGCCAGCTCTGCTCAACTCTCCTTCACCCCTCTTGAAACACAACCAACTCCAAAGGGATTATGGCAGCTGCTTAGACAAAGAATTGAAAAATGCTGTGTATTGTTAGAGCAGCTGGGAGAAGTTTAGGTAGAAAATATGTAGTAGCTCAGGTGAAATTCTTGATCTTGCATGACTCATAGTTGCACAAATGGAGAGAATGGCTGGAGAGCAGCCCTGAGGAGAAGGTCTTGGGGGTGTTGGTGGATGAGAAGCTCAACACGAGCCGGCAACATGCGCTGGTGGCCCAGAGTGTTGGTGGATGAAAAGCTCAACATGAGCCACCAACGTGCGCTGGTGGCCCAGAGAGCTGGATGGCTAAAAAGGTCATCTCAGCAGTGATGGAATTTCTTTTTTGATTTATTTTGGGAATGCCTCTGACTATTTAGAAGTGTATCACAGCTGTACGTGTTGAGCCAGCTCTGCTCAACTCTCCTTCACCCCTCTTGAAACACAACCAACTCCAAAGAGATTATGGCAGCTGCTTAGGCAAAGAATTGAAAAATGCTGTGTGTTGTTAGAGCAGCTGGGAGAAGTTTAGGTAGAAAATATGTAGTAGCTCAGGTGAAATTCTTGATCTTGCATGACTCATAGTTGCACAAATGGAGAGAATGGCTGGAGAGCAGCCCTGAGGAGAAGGTCTTGGGGGTGTTGGTGGATGAGAAGCTCAACACGAGCCGGCAACATGCGCTGGTGGCCCAGAGAGCCCCTCGCATCCTGGGCTGCATCCCCAGCAGCGTGGCCAGCAGGGAGAGGGGGGGAATCTGCCCCTCTGCTCCTCTCTGGGGAGACCCCACCTGGAATACTGTGTCCAGCTTTGGAGTCTCCAACATAAGAAGGACATGGAACTGTTGGAGCAGGGCCAGAGGAGGCCACGGAGATGCTGGGAGGGCTGGAGCCCCTCTGCTGGGAGGGGGGGCTGAGAGAGTTGGGGGGGTTCAGCCTGGGGAAGAGAAGGGTCTGGGGAGACATTATAGTAGCCTTCCAGTAAGTCTGGGGAGACATTATAGTAGCCTTTCAGGGGCTCCAGGAACGATGGGGAGGGACTCTTGATGAGGGAGAAAAGCCACAGGACGGGGCTCCAGGAGAGATGGGGAGAGACTCTTAATGAGGGAGGGAGCCACAGGACAAGGGGGAAGGGTTTCAAACTGAAAGAGGGGAGATTGAGATGAGATCTGGGGAAGAACTTGTTTGGTGTGAGGGTGGTGAGAGCCTGGCCCAGGTTGTCCAGAGAAGCTGTGGCTGCCCCATCCCTGGAGGGGTTCAAGGCCAGGCTGGATGGGGCTTGGAGCAACCTGGTCTGGTGGGAGGTGTCCCTGCCCAGGGCAGGGGGTTTGGAACTGGATGATCTTTAAGGTCCCTTCCAACCCAAACCATTCTATGATTCTATGAAATAACCAAGGACGTTATGAAGATGAGTTTGCTGCTTTGGTCTGCAGACACAGAAGAACACTGTGTTGTAGGATACCTTCCACAGAAGGGCAAAAGCTTCCAGCTTGATATCAACAAGCATTTAAATTCTGCTGAAAATGATTAAGCCACCAGAGAAGGGCAGCACCGTTGTGTTTTCCCGGCGTGGCTAATCCATCTCAATCTTGGCCTGTTCTTGGGGACAGGCAGGAGAAAATTTTGGGGCCCTTTTCCATTAACTTCCTGTCCTCAGAGTAAAATAATAGAACAGATTCGTTGCTCTCTCCAAGCTCCAAGTCTAACGAGGAGCAGTTATGGCCAACAAATAATTAATGGTCCTTGTTTGCCTGCCCCGAAAGCCAAACTTGCCTCTGTTAGAACCTACGCAGGAAAGAAATAGGACGATAATCACGACGTACCGTGTTGTCTCTGCTTAGATTGCCTCAGACTATGGGAAGGATCCATCCATCACCTCTCTGCTGAACAAAATGGACATTTTCCTGCTGACAGTCACCAACCCTGATGGATACGTGTTCACTCACACCACGGTGAGTAAAGCAGGCTGCAGGTCTAAGCTGATTTAGGAAGCTGTCGTGCTCTTCCAATCAAATAATAAACACGAGGGACGTAGGATCCTGCAGGTCTAAGCTGATTTAGGAAGCTGTCATGCTCTTGCAAGCGAATAATAAATGCGATGAAAGTCCATTTCTTCATGCTGTAAGAAGGAGTTACAAAAGAGCTGGGCAGCCAGAGATACTAACGACTTGTCTAACCCATCCTAACCTTGTCTAACCCACCCTAACCTTGTCTAACCCATCCTAACCCTCTCTAAATTCACCAGCCCTTCCATTTTTGTCCGTTGGCCCATCTTGGCAGTCAGCCCATGAGAAATAATCTTAGGATGGTGCCTGGAATGGCTTCCTGGTGAACGGCAGCTGTTTCCGGGTGGTGGTTTTAGTGCAAAGACCCAGATTTGCTCCGTTTTGAAGCCGTCGTGTTTCTTTTCTTTGCTTTAGAACCGCATGTGGCGGAAGACCCGCTCCAGGAACCCCGGCAGCGTGTGCATCGGAGTTGATCCAAACAGGAACTGGGATGCTGGTTTTGGAGGTAGGAATAAAGTTTCTGGATTCTGGCTGTCACTAAGAAGAAAAATTCCCAGATTCTGTTACATGGGACCAGCAATCACCTTAATATAAGGCATCCAGAAAGAAAATGGTCAAATAGGATGGGAGCTGTGTTTTATAAAGATAATTTGGCGTTGATTAATTGCCAGTGAGCACAGGATGAAGGTGGCAAATCTGTATCATCAGAATTTGGCGTTGATTAATTGCCAGTGAGCACGGGCTGAAGGTGGCAATCTGTATCATCGAGAAGTATGTCCCTTGAGGATTCATGCTCCATCGCTGCGGTTTGAGCATTTATCAGCATTTAAGGCCTTGCCCTTGGCTGAAGGCCCGTTTTTGGGAAAGCCCAGCTTTGTGCTGGTTTGCTTTGACCTTTCACGAATGCCAGTTCTTACAGGTTTGCCTTTGTTTCCCCTCGTTTGCACCCGACAGGTCCTGGAGCCAGTAGCAATCCCTGCTCTGACTCTTACCGTGGGCCCAGCGCCAACTCAGAGGTGGAAGTCAGATCTGTGGTCAACTTCATTAAGAATCACGGCAACATCAAGGCCTTCCTCACCCTCCACAGTTACTCTCAGCTCCTGATGTATCCCTATGGCTATAAATGCACCCCACCGGCCGACTACGCCGAGCTGGTGAGACATCAAGACTTGGTTTTAGCTTCCTCTCTTCTCTCCAACTGCTTTTCTGTCCTCGAGTATTTACCGTGAGATACCAGGATAAAAATGAGAGGCTGAACTCTGCCATCCCTGACAGTAAACGACCAGGAGAATGAACCAAAACCCAGTGCAATGCCTTTTAAAAGAGAAATATTGGTCATACACTAACAGATGCCATCCCCACCCCTCTCTGCTCATCCACAGTTCCTTCTTTCTGCTTTAAAGACAGCATCGTGGCTGTAACAGTATCTTTGAGGAGATGTGGCTCTTGCAGTCATCATTCAAATGGAAAAGACCCCCTGGAGGTCTCCACTCTGACCCTCTGCTGAAAGCTGGCAGGCTTTGGAGTCGTGGCCGATTCCAAGGCTGCCTTGGGTCGCTTAGGGCCTTTGTTTTGATATTTCCAAAGACAAATTTCCACAGCTTCTGCAAGCCCATCCCAAAGTTTCCCCACTGCTGTTGGGATTTTCTTCTTTCCCTAATACCTAAATGTAATTTTCCCTTGTGGCAATTTGTTTGCTGCCTCCCGTCCTTTTGCCCTGCTCCAAGAAGAGCCTGGTGCTCTTTTCTCCACCAAGTTGAAGCCAGAACAAAGGTGACCACTGAGTCCTGGGAGATCTCCTACAGCCTTGGGGTTTTCTGGTATCTCTTGAACCTTCTCTTGGCGAGACAGTTGGTGAGATGAAACCTTGGATGATCAGACACAGAACCTGCTATGGTTTAATTCACCCTCAGTCTCACCTCCCAAAAATACTGTGGAAGCTGTGGGCGCTGTCACTCATCTGAGAGGTTAAGAAATGGATTCTTTGGGCCCCAGTTTATTGGGGAGATGTGAAAGATCCAAGATTTTGTGAAAAATTGTGGCGATTTCCCTGAGTATGGTCCAGGCTGGCAAAATATTAACGTTTAATCTCATTAATTGTGGCTGCTTTCTGACCCGTCCTTTATCTCCTCCTCTCCAGGACGCTTTGGGAAAAGCTGCTGCCAGTTCCATCAGGTCCCTGTATGGCACCACCTTTACAGTGGGGAGCATTTGCACTACAATTTGTGAGTATTTTGCTAATTCGAGCCTTTATGGGCTGTCCCAGGGCAACAGTCTCTGTCCACCCCCTCCAGGTTTCTCCCTCTTGGCAGCAGTGATGCTTCTGCAGAGTGACACCACCTCTGTCAAACATCAGAGCTGAGCCATAGCATAAAAACCTAATATTTGTCACAGAATCACAGAGTGACAGGGGTTGGAAGGGACCTCTGGAGATCATCTAGACCAACCCCCTGCCAGAGCAGAGTCACCCAGAGCAGGTCACATGGGAATGTGTCCAGGCAGGTTTGAATGTCTCCAGAGATGGAGACTCCACCACCTCTCTGGGCAGCCTCTTCCAGGGCTCCGACACTGTCAAAGGAAAGAAGTTCCTCCTCATGTTGAGATGGAACTTCTTATATTCAAGTTTGGGCTCGTTCCTTCTTGCCCTGTCCCTGGGCACCACTGGGAAAAGCCTGGCCCCATCCTCCTGACACCCACCCTTGAAGTATTTATAGGTGTTGATCAGATCCCCCCTCAGTCTTCTCTTCTCCAGACTAAACAGACCCAAGTCCCTCAGCCTTCCCTCATCAGAGAGATGTTCTAGTCCCCTCAGCATCTTTGTAGCCCTCTGCTGTGCCCTCTCCACCAGTTCCCTGTCCTTCTGGAACTGGGGAAGCCAGAACTGGACCCAGTCCCTCACAAATACAGAGAGTAGGAGGGCGAAACTCAACCCAACCCTCTCTTCACCCCTCTGGTTCTTCTCCCTTTCTCTTTCAGACCAAGCCAGCGGAGGCAGCATCGACTGGAGCTACGATTACGGCATCAAATACTCTTTTGCCTTCGAGCTGCGCGACACCGGTCGCTACGGCTTCGTCCTGCCAGCCAGCCAAATCATCCCCACCGCGGAGGAGACCTGGCTGGGCCTGAAAAAAATCATGGAGCACGTGCGAGACAATTCCTCCTAAAAGCCAGGGTGGGCTCTTACGAGGGTGAGCAGCGAGCTCCTAAATCCTCTTCTCTCCACGTTTCTTGTGACATCCCTAACCACGTGGCACCTGGCTGAATAAAAACCCCGTGCACATTCCTCCTGCGGCGACACGTGTCTGCCTGTAAAAAAAAAAAAAAGCTTTTAGGGCTTGTCTTCTTCACTGCAACTCCCTGTGTGTGGTAGACCCCTTTAGAAGATTTTTTTTCTTTAGGCCATGGTTGTCGTCCACCTCGATGAGACGCAGGAGGAGCAGTGACAAGAGGAGGATGGAAAGTGTGGTGGGAAAGGAGGAGATGGTTGTCCCCGAGGTGCAGACTGTCCTGCCTGGTGCCCTCTGTGGCTCCGTCACTGTTAGTAAATCCAAAATGAGTTTGCTCCAAGCACCATGAGCCCTTAGTGGTGTGTTGGGACCTCTGCAAACCTCCCTGTCCTTGTGGCAGCCCCTTCCCCACAACCAGCCCCGTCCCCACGGCAGAAACTGGCTCCTGAGGGAATGAGGGTGTGGGATATTTAATGTATTTCTGAAATTTGTGGATTGAAAGCGGCGTGAGCGCTTCAGAGCTGCTGAAGGACTTGAATGATCATCTAGAAGGTTAATTGCTCTGCTACTAGAGTGCAACCACAGCTGGGGGGATGACCTGAGCCTGCCATATTGTCCCTTCCAGTAGCGTCCAGTGGCTGTTTGGAGGGGACAGGGAAGAATTTAGGGCCATGGAGATGCTGGGAGGGCTGGAGCCCCTCAGCTGGGAGGACAGGCTGAGAGAGTTAGCGCCCCTTCCAGTCCCTCAAGGGGCTCCAGGAGAGATGGGGAGGGACTCTGGATCAAGGAGGGGAGCCCTAGGAGGAGGGGGAAGGGTTTGACCCTGAAAGAGGGGAGATGGAGCTGAGATCTGGGGAAGAACTTGTTTGGTGTGAGGGTGGTGAGAGCCTGGCCCAGGTTGGCCAGAGAAGCTGTGGCTGCCCCATCCCTGGAGGGGTTCAAGGCCAGGTTGGAGGGGGCTTGGAGCAACCTGGTCTTTTGGGAGGTGTCCCTGCCCAGGGCAGGAGAGTTGGAACTGGATGGTCTTTAAGATCCCTTCCAACCCAAACCAGCCTACGATTCTATGAATTTGGGTTTTTTTTTGTGCAAAACAACTCCAAACCCAAACTATTCTATGATTCTATGAATTTGGGGGGTTTTTTTTGTGCAAAACAACTCCGTGCTGCTGCTCTTGTGAGCTTGAGGGCTTCAGCAGCGTTGGCTTCTGGGGGAAGAAGGGGCTCATGCAGAGGGTCCTGATGTTAAAGGAGCGTAATCCAGGCTGTGAGACTAATTAAAGGAACTCAATTTCCTTTATCAAGCCTAACCTGGATGCTGCCAGGCCACCGATTGCTGGTGGGAGCGGGAGGGTCTCCTGGCTTAATGTCCCCATTAATGTCCCCCATTTCCCCCTTCTAGATTTGCCCAGTGGGCACTATTGGAGGATGGAGGTGGGGAGGACCTCCCCTTACCCAGTGTGGCCAGTCCACCGGTCCCTCAGGTAGCCCACCTCCCTCCTTCTGTTGTTGGACCTGCTCATTTCTTGGGGATTAGGAGCTAAATGGCTCGGGGCCATCTGAGGGACAGGAGATCAGCAATCCCTGCTGCTGAGGGACAGGAGATCAGCAATCCCTGCTGCTGTTGCGGGTGATTATCGAGTCCAACAGGTTTATCTCCATGTCCTGTGACCCCCCCCACCCCCTGCCACCAGCAGCTGGCGAGTTACTCACCACCCCACCCCGAGGGTTGGCAGGAGATGGAGCACCTGATGGGTGAAATGTCAGCTCAGACCCAAAGGACACGTGGCTCTTGGCAAGGGGGAGGGTGGCAAAGGTGCAGCTGAGGCATGGGGAAGCACCACGTGGGGTTGGTTTTGGGTGAAGAGCAGCTGTTTTGGAAAGCAAACCCGAGCACGGGGCAGCCGGCGCTCCCTGCACGTGTCCCCGTCCCCTCTGCTCATGGCCACAGCTGGTGGCACCTGCTTCCCAAACTGACCCAACCCTTCCAGAATCCCATCCTCCAGCCAGCAATAAAAACACCCCTGGTAAAACCCCGCTGATGGGAAGGGCCCTGGGCTCACAGTTGGCTCTTGGACACGGCTAATCTTCTGCCACCAGAGTTGGGGACCTTTGTGGCAGGTGGTGGGCAGGAGCTGCAGAGCTGAGGAGCCTCAGCCAGGGTTGTAGAGCTGTGGCCTCACCCTGGCTTTGAACCTCATTCCAACCAGTGAGGTCTTGGGACCACCTGGCCCCTCTTCTTCTAAGCGTGTGGCTTGATGACAAGTACATCCAGTTTTTGGACCCCTGGCACCAAAGGGACCTGGAGGAAGACCGATGGAGGGCACCAAGATGTGTCCTATGATGGGATGCTGAGGGAGATAGGCTGGTTTGGCCTGGAGATGAGACAGCTTTCGGGTGGGGTGACCTAATGGGGACCCTCCCATCCCTGTGAAGAGGTTATTGAGAAACCAGAGCCAAATTCTTCACCACAAAGAGAGACAATAGCGTCAGCTGAAAACAAGAGCCAGCCAGGCTGGACATAGGGAGATGCTTTTCCACCAGGAGGACAGTCCAGCAGTGGGACACATCACCCAGAGGAGTTGTGCAGGGAGACTCCCAAGACCCAACATAGAGGGTCTTGGTCTTCCCACAGAACTGACCTTGCTTTGTTCAGGAGGTCGGATAGAGACCTCCTGTGATCCACCTCAACTACCCCATGATCCTGCCTCAATGAGGACCTCCACCCTGGGCCCACCACCCAGGACCAGCTCACCAATGTCATCGGTTTCGCGTTATGAAGCCCTAACGGAGCCCCGACCGTGTGGCACCTTCCCTGCCCCACGTCCTGCTGGGGGTGCAACCAGAAAGATCACCTTGGAAAAAAAAAAAACAACCAACCAACCACAGATAGAAGATTTCTGCTAAAATAGTGACGGGAGATGGTGTCTGCCAGCCTGGGAACCCGGCCCAGGAACCCGGAGCATCCTTGAGGAGCACAGGTGGGAGCTCAGGGACGTGGTAGATAAGGGCACAACAAAGACACTGCTGTAACCTGGGGAACAAAGACGCTGCTATAACCCCCGGAACAAAGGAACCACTGTGAGGAACCGACCTCCTGAGACGGCACAAATCAGCAACGGCTGCTCCAGGAGCTGCTGTCCCTCACCCACCCCTGTACCTACACTAAAGACATGAAAAATAACTCCCTTTCTACCCAAAACTGAGCCCCTCTTTCTCTCTCTCTCTCTGAGCGTTACCCTCAGGTGAACCTACGTCCCCTCGGATCCTCACCTGGCTCCGGTCTCCGTGACACCCAACCTCTTCAAAGTGGGACATCATCCATCATCAACGAGCCCCGCTCCTGGAAGCGGTGACCGGCACCGGTAATAATTTGAACGATATAATTCGAATTTTAAAGATAGATAGATAGAAAATTCTGCATAGAAGTAATTAATCATAAATATATATTTTTATATATATACTTACTTTTCTGCTGGGAATTTGTAGCAGCTTGTAATATAGGCTTGTTGACTAATCCTAATTATACTTCGCTAAGATTAACCTGTAATAAAGAACATGGAAACAACACGCCGTGTCGTTGCGTACTACGGGGTCCTACGACCCCACCGTCCCCACACCCTGGGGGGGGGGGGTGGGGGGGGGATTGTCACCATG